CCAAGAGCGAATTCGCCCTTGAAAAGGTCCAGTTCCTAGGACACATGGTGAGCGCTCAAGGAGTTCACGTCGACCCCAAGAAAATCGAGGCCGTACGCTCGTGGAAGACACCCGAGAACGTGAAGGAGTTGCAGCAGTTCCTAGGCTTCGGTAATTACTACAACAGCTTCGTGCCACAGTATGCGAAAATCGCAGCACCACTCACGAATCTGCTGAAGAAGAACACGCCCTACAAATGGGAGCCGAAACACCAGGAAGCCGTGGAGCAGCTGAAGCGAGCACTTACGTCCGCACCGGTACTCATTTTGCCAGATCCCAAACGCGACTACGTCATCAAAGCAAACCAGTGACCAAGCAGTGGGAGCAGTCTTGATGCAAGATCAAGGGAGTGGACTGCAACCAATCGCTTACCTAAGTAAGAAACTGCACGGGCAGAAATAAACTACCCGATACACGACAAAGAGGCCCTAGCTATCATCATCGCCTTCAAAGCGTGGAGATGCTATCTCGAAGGACGAAGAACAACCGTCTACACCGACCACTGCAGCCTGAAATACTTGAAGACACAACCCAACCTTTCCAGGCGGCAGGTCCGGTGGATCGACTTTCTCGAGACACACTTCCACTACGACATCGTGTACAAGCCCGGTCACAAGAACAAAGCAGACGCTCTCAGCCGGCCTGCACACGTTGCCGCCATTCAGATTGAAGGGATGAATCCACTACTCAAGGGACTCTTCGCACACGGGTACGCCATCGACCCCGAAATTCCCTTGGCAGAAAAGCGACATCTGCTACAGTGGGACAGTGACATCGCGTACCGGAAAGGATCAACAAAAATCTGGGTACCCAATTACCCTCCTTTGCGCCAGTTACTATTCGAAGAATACCACGACGTCCTCTACGCCGGACACTTCGGTAGCAACAAGACGCTGACCGGTATCGCAAAGCACTACTACTGGCCCCACTTAGCAGAAGATGTCCAGAAATTCGTCACCTCGTGTGATACATGTCAGTGGATGAAGAGCAGCAAGCAGAAAAAGGTGGGACTACTGCAGCCTCTTCCTGTCCCAGAACAACCATGGCAAGTGGTTAGCCTCGACTTCATCACCGGGTTACCACCTACCACCAGCAGTCATGACGCAATCCTTGTCGTCATTGACAAGTTCTTCAAAATGGGACACTTCATCCCGACACACACGACGGCACGCACCGAGGAGACAGCACAACTATTCGTTCGTCACATCATCTCACAGCATGGCATCCCAACCACACTCATTTCCGACCGAGACCCCAAGTTCACCAGCAAGTTCTGGAAGGAACTTATGTCTCTTCTCGGGACCAAACTCGTCATGTCATCCGCATACCATCCGCAGACAGACGGACAGACCGAGCGCCTCAACCAAATTGTTGAGCAACTCCTCCGAGCAGCCTGCAAGGACGACATCTCCAAATGGGACTTGCACCTGCCCGTACTAGAGTTTGCTTACAACAATGCTACACATGCCGCTACTGGACAGACGCCGTTCTTCCTCTGCTACGGACGCCACCCACTCACACCACAGAAACCGACAGCATCAGCTACAGTCCAACCAGCACATGATTTCATCACAACCATGCATCAGCTTTGGGATCGGACCCACAAGCGCCTACTCGACATTCAACAGCAACAGAAGCGCCAAGCCGATCGCCATCGCAACGATCACACCATCACGATGGGAGACCAGGTGCTTCTTGACACCCGCAACCTGGACATCAGCCATCTCCCATCTAAACTTCGACCTCGCTTCTGCGGGCCTTTTCTCGTTGAAACACAGGTCACTCCTGTTACCTTCCGCTTACGCCTGCCAGCTACCTGGAAGATTCACAACGCCTTCCACGTCCAACTTCTGAAGCCCTATCGGGACCCGAACACGATTTTCGTCGGACGCCAACCGCCGCCGCCACCGCCCGTCCTCGTCCAGAATGAACCCGAGTACGAGGTCGAGTCCGTGCTCGCACACCGCCGTTGTCGGAATGGCACGGTGGAGCTTCTCATTCGTTGGAAGGGTTATGATCCTTCTGAGGACAGCTGGGTACCTGAGTCCGACATGGGTAACGCCCGTCGTCCTCTGCATGACTACGTTGTCAAGCAGGGTGTTACTTCTACCACCCAGCTTTGAGGGGGGGAAGTGTGAGAGTACGACCCCGTTACACCACTTGGCCTTTTCCCTATTTCCTTTTCCTTCCATTTATCTTTTTACCGCATCTCATTTGGTTTCCTATTCTTCCTTTTCCATTAACCTGTGGCTTATCCTGCTATTATAATTATACCACCGACCAGGCTTGGGATGTACTGGTGCGCTCTATCTAGCGTAATCCTGCTGTAATCCCTTAAAGCCAATAGCCTGGCATGGCTATACGCAGGGTGATTCTATCTTCTAGAAGGGTCTATTCCCTTAGGATAAGATAAACCTGGTTACCTGATGTACTCTGGAAGTATAAAAGTGCCTTGTACTGATCGATAGTGCAACCTTTCCTCGACACATTCGATCCTGTGACAGACACTCTTGGCGCTACTATCGCTGACTTCACCTCTACCTGCCGCCTTGACTACGCCACAGCTCAGGTCCCTGACCCTGTCTATCCTCCGTCCATCGGGGGTGCACCTGCCCTTGGTTGTGACGTCCTAGAGGACAGGCAGTACGAGCTAGCTTTCCTGTCTGAGGCCACTCCCCATCTCTTTTCCATGCTGCTAGTCCTTTGACTTCCCGACCCCTTGCACTTACGCTGAGGCGACTTCAGAACCCTGGGCCTCTCAGCGGATAGCTGCCATGGAGCAGGAGATGGCATCTTGGAGATTCACAGGCACCTACGTCGACGCAGTTCCCCTACCTAGGGTGAACGTAGTCGATGGCCGGTGGCTCTTCAAGGTGAAGTGCCCCTCCGGAGAGCCGCCTCTGTTCAAGGCACGCTACGTGGCTAGAGCCTTTAGTCAGCGCGAGGGTGTGGACTTCTTTCAGAAGTTCGCTCCGACCTTAAAGATGACTACTCTTCGGGCGCTACTATATGTAGCAGCACAGCGGGACTACGAGCTACACTCCCTCGACTTCTCCACAGCGTTCCTTCAGGGCAGCCTATATGAGCAGGTCTACTTTCGTTGTCCACAGGGCTTCACCAGTACCTTCCCTCCTAGGACCCCCTGGCTCCTCCGGCACCCGGTCTACGGCCTGCGACAAGTGCCTTATGAGTGGCACGACATGCTGCGTACCACGCTAGCTGAGCTGCATTTCTTCCCGTCGTCTGCAGAACCCTCGCTCTTCGCTCGTGCTGGCCAGACCCCATTCTTCATCACTGTCTACGTAGACGATCTGGTCTTCGCTACTACAGACAGAGACGGGCTAGCCCCCGTGAAGGCTGAGCTGCTGAGGAGACACACCTGCACTGACCTAGGAGAGCTGCACCGCTACCTTGGCCTGCAGATCTCCACGGACAGAACATCACGCACCATTACTCTCACACAGTCACACTTGGTGCGGCAGGTCTTTCAGAGGTTCGGTCTTCAGTTCTCCTCTACATAGCCCATGCCTCTGCCAGTAGACCACTGGCTCTCTGCTCCAGTTCCTGAGGAGTCAGTAGAGCCTAGTGGTTCTTACTGTAGACGCTTTGTGGGCACACGACACTGAGACACTCACGTCCTCCTGGGGCTACTGCTTTAGCCTTGGTTCAGGTGCCATTTCGTGGAGATCTCGTTGTCTGTTGCCCAGTCTAGCTGTAAGGCTGAGATCTACGCCGGTGCCATGGTAGCACAGGAGCTCCGCTAGCTGACCTTCTTGCTTACAGACTTAGGTGAGTGGCCTAGCTCTGCCCCTCGACTTGAGGGCACAGCCAAGAACATCCAGCTGCGGTACTTCCTCCTGCGCAAGTTATAACAGCGCCGCCAGACCCGCGTAGTACATTTGGCCTCCGGTGCCAATGCAGCTGATGTCTTTAGTAAAGCGCTTGCGCCTAAAGATCATCAGCGGCACTGTTTGCAGCTTGGTTTAGTTCCTGTAGCTCCGCACTTGCGAGGACCTTGATTGTGTACTCCTCTATATATATCGCTTTTTCACTGGTCTTGTGGCTTCTCTTCCAGTGGTCGGACTAGTAGTGCCGCCCTGGTTTGCTCTTGTCTTGTTGGTACTCTTGCTGACTGGTCTTCGGACCCCTACCTCAGAGGTTGGACTAGCAGTGCCACCCTGAGTTGTGTGTTTCTTGCTCAGCACTGCCCCTTATCTAGCCTAGGGGGTGTGTCGATTTATACATCTGTTTATATGTAGATGTTATAGGCTAGATAGGTTTGTGTTCATAGAGGGTACAACTCCAACTCTATATCCACCCCTGTACTACATTGTTCTATTCATTCTGCTACCCTAAGACCTCTCACACCTCCCCGAACTCACACTAGCCCTAAATTTGGCGTAGGGCCAAAAAGTCCCCTCACACATCCCCCAGCACACGCAAGCTACATTTGGTGAAAGGTCAAATGCCGCCTCACACAACCCCCCAGCACACATCGAGCAGGGAAAACATGCAGTTATTATTGCAGGGCAATCACGCTGTTACTGAGGCTACAGGGTTCACTACAATAGCAACGATGTACAAACAGAGTTCAGCCATAAAAAAACCCTGAAATTTCAGGGTGGTGTCTAAAAAAAATACAGGTGCATTAGGGTTGGTAAAAAAAAAAAAAACATATGAAAAAACCCTGAATTAGGGAAATTTGCCTGAAATCTGAGGGCCTGATCGCATGTGCAGCATTGAGCTATGAAATTTTCCTCCTGTAGATTCACATAAGGGGCATGGTACAAGTGGGTTATTGAGCTGGTTGGGGGTTTAGGATAGGGGAGTTTTTTAACTCTAGGAACGATTCCACATGTCATGCAAGAAAATAGACAATAACTGGAATCGGTTAGTTGTTAACGAGGATATCGGGACGGGCTTCCTTTCCGAGCAGTCTTCGCATGCTACGCAATTACAGGCCGCGACAAGTCAGCTACCTGGGTGATTTGCACATTTCTCCCGCAATCTTCTCGCCGCTCACTCATTTCCGCCCACTCGCCTCTGGCCACTCGCCACTCGCCACTCGCACATTGGGGATATTTGCCGTGCGCCGAGCGGCGTGGACCAGGCGAGCCCGTGTCGCTTCTCCGCTCGCCAGGTTCGCCTCTCCTCGCGCGCACTCACTTCGTTGCTCGGTCCGTCGCGCTCTAAGTTTCTACTCTCCGTCGCCCGCCCTCCCCTCCGTTTTTTTGTATCGCCCCTCGTCCCCCCCCCCCTCGCGCCTCCCGCAATTCGAGCGCAAGCCCCAGCCAGTGCCGCTGCTTGCGCTCCCCCCTCTCCGCTGCACGGCGGTGCCCCTCGCCCCTCCGTTCCCCGCCCCACCACCCGCGTCCCACCCGCCCTCCTCGCCCCTCCGCTCTTTGGTCATCTTTCCCCCAACCCGCCCTGCCTTCAACGCCCCTCGCATGCCCCCTGCTCGTCGATGGTTGGGGAGAAATGAGGCCAGGGGATGAGGGAGGGGAGGGGAGGGGAGGAGAAGCGATGGAAAGTAGAAATAGGAGACAGGAGTGGTGGAGAATGTGCAGGTGGAGAGGGAGGGGGGGAATGCGGTGGTGTGATGGGAGGGCAACTGGTGCCATGGGTTGGTGGTGAAGCAGTGAAACAGCTTGTGCGTGTGTCCACCTCGCCCTGGCCCATGTTCGCCTTGTCTGTGCCCCACTCGCAGGCCAGTGCAGTGCATGATCGCCATGCCTGCCAGCGGTACCACCAAGAGCACCACCGCCTCACAGCCCTCTGCCGAGATTCCTCCCACCAACCACACATGGTACCGCGCCCCTCCCACCAACCACACATGGTACCGCGCCCCTCCCACCAACCACACATGGTACCGCGCCCCTCCCACCAACCACACATGGTACCGCGCCCCTCCCACCAACCACACATGGTACCGCGCCCCTCCCACCAACCACACATGGTACCGCGCCCCTCCCACCAACCACACATGGTACCGCGCCCCACTTTGGCTTCTCGCCGTCCTCTTTTCCTTCACTTGCACCATCCCCCACCCGCCCCCTGCCCATCCCTCCGTCCCTATCCTGCCCCTCCCTTTCCACCACCTCCCCCTCACCACCCCGTCCCGCTGCTTGCTCCTATTCCCCCTCCACCTCCACCCTCCTTCGCCCTTCCATTCCCCCTGTCTCCCTTTGTTGCTTACACCCTCCATTGTCAAAGCGGGCCTTGAGATGGGCATGTATGGTGCTGTAGCAGCAAGGCAGTGCGGGCCTTAGGTAGGGGCGATGAGAGCTGTCAGGGACCCACACCATATTGCCCTCTGTGCACCAGTCACCCGTGCGCGCACGCAGGTGTCATGAGGGTACCTGCGACACCTCGTCTCCCTCCTCCTCCGCCCTCCTCGCCTTTTCCTGCCTGCCCCCCCCTGGTCTTCCTCGCCTGCCCTCCTCCCTTTGGCGCAGTGAGCTGCGAGTGGCGTGTGGGTCGCCAGAGGAGGCTCTCATTCTGCGCAACACGCTAGCAGTGGACCGTGAGGTCAGCATTCCGCACTCTATCACTCATCCGCACTCTATCACTCATCCGCACTCTATCACTCATCCGCACTCTATCACTCATCCGCACTCTATCACTCATCCGCACGCACTGAAGCTTCATGCATTTGCACCCTCAGGCCCAGCTCATGCATTTGCACCCTCAGGCCCAGCTCATGCATTTGCACCCTTAGGCCCAGCTCTACTTACGCCATCCATCGTCATCCCGTTTTACTATGTTCTCAACGCTTGCAGCTTCAACCAGACAAGCTCGTGCGAGTGATCATGGCTGACGGCAGTACGCTCAACATGTAAGTCCCATCCCTGCTCTTGACCTTAGGGCACGTCTCCGTCACGAGCGTATCGAGCATGTGGTCGTTGCTGGGAACGCCATGCGGTTCGTGCTGCGTGCCATCCCTTGCCATCGGGGATGTTATGCCAGCCTTGGATTCTCTCTACCAAGTCATCTGCCACCCATGCCACACATATCGCACATGCCACACATCGCACATGCCACACATATCGCACATGCCACATATATTGCACATGCCACACATATCGCACATGCCACACATATCGCCATGCCATACATATCGCACATGCCACACATATTGCACATGCCACACATATCGCTCATGCCACACATATCCCTCATGCCACACATATCGCACATGCCACACATATCCCTCATGCCACACATATCCCTCATGCCACACATATCGCACATGCCACGCATATCGCACATGCCACGCATATCGTACATGCCACACATATCGCACATGCCACACATATCGCACATGCCACACATATCGCACATGCCACACATATCGCACATGCCACACATATCGCACATGCCACACATATCGCACATGCCACACATATCGCACATGCCACACATATCGCACATGCCACACATATCGCACATGCCACACATATCGCACATGCCACACATATCGCACGTGCCACACATATCGCACGTGCCACACATATCGCACATGCCACACATGTCGCACGTGCCACACATATCGCACATGCCACACATATCGCACATGCCGCACATATCGCACATGCCCTGCGCATGCCATGCATGCCACTATAGTTTGTGGCATGATTCCTTCTCCATTCGTGGCCTCAGTACTCCACATGCATTCTCACTTGCTTGCCTCACCAGTCTCTGCCCTTCCCTCCACTTCCCCCTCCCTCCCCACACGCCGTTCCTCCCTCCACCATGCACCACTACCCCCCTGTGCCCCCCTCTGCCGCCCTGTGCCACCCTCTGCAGCTCCTTCTTGTGCCCTGATGCTCGCCTCCTGCGAGCGGCCTTCAATGCCTTCATGGACTCGCTGATCCTTGCTGCTCGCACCATTGAAGCGTTTGGCCCGCCTCTTCCCATGCAACAAGATTGCAAGTGAAAACTGCAACAAACAAGTCTGCCCGGGATAAACGCAACAGATTGCATGTGATAACTTCAAACAACCATGGCTTCATTGCCATGGACTTATTTTCGCTATTCTTACATGGAGGGCGAGATCCAGGCCCCCAAATTGCTGACTTTTTACTATGATTCAGACATTTTTCAGAGTTTTTTTGGGGGTGTACTCTGTGTTGGGCTGAGAAAAGCCCTTAGGATCTTTCCAGAGACTAAGTCCCAGTTGAAGAATGAGACTTGAGTAGTGCAGCGGAAGTTGAGTAGTTGAACCCTTGTACTAGTATATGAGAACAAGTGATTGATTAAAGAAGCAAGCATACAGCAATATATAGAAAATAGGAAAGTAAAGCAGTTGTAGAATACAGTTGCAGGAGCGGTTATCGAGTCGCACAGCGACTCGATTGTCGCTTCGGTTACCATCCGCGCTGTTGTAACGGTCAGTCGCAACCTCCAGTTGCGACCCTTTGAGTCCCTTCGCGTTCTTTGTTCATCCCCTCGTGTAACCTCCGTTGACTCGCGTACCCGTTGTGATCTTCCTCGAGTGTAGTGTTACACTTCAGAAACGCTTAAGTTCTTTGAGATATTTCCAACACTCCCCTTCGTTTCTGGAGTGCTGACGTGTTCAGATCCGGTGACGTTTGTCTGCCCGGTCAGCAGCGTGCAGTAATCGAATTTTGCCTTCGCCAATTTCTTCGTCAGATAGTCTGCGGCCATTTCTGTCGTCGGGCGGTAACTGAGTTGAAGTCTCCCCTTCGCGATTTCATGCTTGACGAAGAAGTACCGCAGGGCGATGTGCTTGGTTCGGTTGGCGAAGCCGTCCTTGTTCGCGATTTTGATCGCAGATTGGTTGTCGAAGAGGAGTGAGAAGACGGGCAGGGTCACAATCTTCGCTTCCTCGAGCAACTCTCGTAGGTAGAGTCCTTCCTTGGTCGCAGTACAGAGGGCGATATACTCTGCTTCAGCCGAAGATAGTGCGATTAGTTCCTGCTTGCTCGACTGCCAGGAGATAGTCCCGATAGGTTATAGTCGGTAGATATAGCCCGTTCTCGATCGTCGATTTCCCTTGTCTCCCACGTGGTCGGTGTCGACGTATCCGAGTAGTTGTACGGACGATGTCGTTACTTTACTGTAGGTAAGCCCGGTCGTCGTCGTGGAGACGAAGTAGAGTAGTGCCCGATTAAGTTCCTCGAGATCTTCTTGTTCCGGCTGCTTCAGATGCGTCGCCAGTTGGCTCGCGCTGTAAGATAGATCGGGTCGGCACGTTACTGCTGCGAATAGTAGGCAGCCGAGCTTCTGCTGATACTCCTGGATTTGCTTCGCGGGGAGTTTTGCGGAGGTGTTGCTGTTGTTCCCGTAGCGGTAGGGAGTCGGGACCGTAGTCGGCGTTAGACCGAATTTCTTCGCGACAGTGCCTGCGTATTTTCCAGCGTGTAGGTAGAACGCCGAGTTGTCTTCGACGACATTCAGTCCCAGGTACTGGGTCACTGTGTCGGACACCGTGAGTGTCAAGTCCCCTTTCAGATCCCCTTCGAACTAGGTGGCGATGTCGGTGGTGGAACCGATGTAGAGCAGGTCGTCGACGCAAACGATGAGTAGGATATACTCTCTTCCCTTCTGCAGTCGGTACATGCCTTGGTCATGCGGCAGCTGTAGGAATTCGATTTTTACGAGGCGACCGTGAAGATGCTGCTGCCAGAGCCGCGGGGCTTGCTTGATCCCGTAAAGGGATTTTATCAGCTAGCATACTTTTGTAGGGTCGTCGATGAATCCGTGGGGCTGCTCGACGAAGATCTCGGCGTCCACAGGTGCGTACAGGAAAGCATTTGCGACGTCGATTTGGCACAGTGGTAGTTTCTTCGTGGCCACGACGGCGAGTAGGATGCGCAGGGAGGTGTGACGGGAGACTGGGGCAAAGGTTTGTGTGTAGTCGGTTCCATATCGTTGATCGAAGCCTCGTACGACCCATCGAGCTTTGAATCGTTCGATGGAGCCGTCGGCGTTGGTCTTGATGCGGTACACCCACTTTCCCGAGAGGACGTTCTTCCCGTTGATGTTTGTTGTAGGTACCAACTTCTATGTATTTCGGTCTTGAAGGGCTTTTAGTTCCTTTTCCATCGCCTCCTTCCATTTCGCCTTATGTTCCCCCCCCAGAGCCTGCGACAGAGTCGAGGGCTCGCGCGGAGATGGCGGCGGCGGGTGCTGGACGGAGACCCATAGGCCGAGGATCTGCAGTCCCGTGGGTGTGTGTCGAGGGGAATTTTCATTCCCGGAATAAGCTGCTTCGTCACCATCTTCTGGATCAGGTAAGAAGTTTGGGCCGATGCGTTCTGAAACATTCGTGTTGACGGGGTGGGGTGTAACGTAACCTTGGTCAGCGAAGTGGTAAAAGGTGTCGAGGTTGTTGCTATCGAGGGGATTGTCTTCGTCGAGTGGAACAGGTACGGAACAGAAAGGGAGTGGTCCGGCAGCTTCCGAGGCTCCAGGTACGTCTTCTTCTGCTGCGTCAGCCTCGGCAGCACGGTCGGCGAAGGAACGAAGGCCCGCGAGGCCGTCGATGGGGTCGTGTGTGTTGGCAATGTTGTCCAGGTAATGCTGCAGCGTCAGTCGCTCGTAGAAGATAACATCACGTGATGCCACCGTATTTTTGTCCTGTATGTCGAGGATTTTCCATGCGTGAAAATGTTTGGCGATGCCGAGGTGTAGTCCCCACCGAGCTCGTTGAGTGAAGCGTCCTGCGCAGGCTGTGTGGGGTCTGTACTGTACCATGCAGCCGAAAACTCGAAGTAATTTTGTGCTGCCCCTTTTTCGTGTCCACAGCAGGTGCGGTGATGCGTTGTTGGGAAGCGATGACGAGGACAATAGGTTGTGCAGGTGGACTGCATGTGTCATCGCGTCTGGCCACAGTGTGGTGGGCAGTCTCATCCCTAGGAGCAGCTTCCGCATCGTCGTCTGCAAGGTCCGGTTCATGCGTTCTGCGACCCCCTGCTGCTGGTGAGCGTAGGGCAGGGACACCAGGCGTCTGATTCCTCTTTCCGCCAGATAGGTCCTGAAGCGTTGTGACTGGTATTCCAGTGCACCGTCTGACTGGAAGCTCTTGAGCTTGGTTCCTGATTCTCGTTCGGCGATGGGTAGCCATGTCGTGAAGGCGTGGAAGGCTTGATCGCGCGTCTTAAGGTTGTAGTGCCAGACGTATCTTGTTGCTGCGTCGATAAACGTGATGACATAGTTGAAGTCGGCTTCAGTGTCTTCTCGAGGCATGTTTAAAATGTCGCTGTAGACTTTTTCCATCGGTGCATATGCAGGTGCGCTTGGGTTGTGATGGGATGGAAAAGGCTGGTGGGGAAGATCGGCTTCGGGGCACGTAAAGCACCGTGCGCGTGGTCGTCGAAGTTCTTGGCCGCTCATTGTAAGGAGGGCGGTTCGTTCTAAAACTTCGGCTTGGATGGTTTGCAGTATTGTACTGTTTGCAGGATGTCCGAGGCGTTGGTGCCACATGTCGTCGGGAGCGCGATGGCCGGGCGAGCGGTGGTATATGTCGGTGTTGGAGAAGAACGCGACGACCGTGGCGGGACTTCGGCAGACTTCGCGTGTGATGGGCATAAGTTGATCTGCTTCGGTTGGCGGTCCACGGATCGCTGGTGATGGTACTTGGCTGGGTCCTGCTGTTGCTACTGTAGGTGATGTCTGGGTCTCCACTCTCCCACACTATCTCTCCACTATCTCTCCACTCTCCCACACTCTCTCTCCACTCTCCCACACTATCTCTCCACTATATGTCCACTCTCCAACACTATCTCTTCACTCTCTCTTCTATCTCACCACTGTCCCACACTTTCTCTCCACTCTCCCACTCTATCTCTTCACTCTCCCCCACTATCTCTCCACTATCTCACGACTGTCCCACACTATCTTTCCACTCTCCCACACTATCTCTCCACACTCCCACACTATCTCTCCACTCTCACACACTATCTCTTCACTCTCTCCATTATCTCACCACTGTCCCACACTATCTCTCCACTCTCCCACACTATCTCTCCACTGTCCCACACTATCTCTCCATTTTCCCACACTATCTCTCCACTCTCACACACTATCTCTCCGCTCTCTCCACTATCTCTCTACTGTCCCACACTATCTCTCCACTCTCCCACACTTTCTCTCCACTCTCCCACCCTATCTCTCCACTCTCCCACACTATCTCTCCACTATCGCTCTACTGTCCTACACTATCTCTCCACTCTCCCACACCGTCTCTCCACTCTCCCACACTATCTCTCCACTCTCCCACACTATAACTCCACTATCTCTCCACTCTCCCAAACTGTCTCTCCACTGTCCCACACTATCTCTCCACTATCTCTCCACTCTGTCACACTATCTCTCCAACCTCCCACACTGTCTCTCCACACTCCAACACTATCTCTCCACTCTCACACACTATCTCTTCTCTCTCCCACACTATCTCTCCACTATCTCCCTACTGTCCCACACTATCTCTCCACTCTCCCACACGACCTCTCCTCTCTCCCACACTTTCTCTCCATTATCTCTCCACTCTCACACACTATCTTTCCACTCTCTCTTCTATCTCTCAACTGTCCCACACGATCTCTCCACTACCTCTCCACTCTGTCGCACTATCTCTCCACTCTCCCACACTATCTCTCCACTCTCCCACACTATCTCTCCACTCTCCCACACCATCTCTCCACTCTCCCACACCATCTCTCCACTCTCACACACTATCTCTTCACTCTCTCCACAATCTCACCACTGTCCCACACTATCTCTCCACTCTCCCACACTATCTTTCCACTATCTCTCCACTCTTTCACACTATCTCTCCACTCTCCAACTCCATCTCTCCACTCTCCCACACTATCTCTCCACTCTCCCACACTATCTCTCCACTCTCCCACACTATCTCTCCACTCTCCCACACTATCTCTCCACTATCACTCTACTGTCCCACACGATCTCTCCACTCCCCCACACTATCTCTCCACTCTCCCACACTATCTCTCCACTCTCGCACACTACCTCTCCACTATCTCTCCACTCTTTCACACTATCTCTCCACTCTCCAACACTATCTCTCCACTCTCCCACACTATGTCTCCACTCTCAAACACTATCTCTCCATTATCTTTCCAATCTCCCACACAATCTCTCCACTCTCCCACACTATCCCACCACAATCTCTCAACTATCCCACACTATCTCTCCACTCTCCCACACTATCTCTCCACTCTCCCACACTATCTCTCCACTCTCCCACACCATCTCTCCACTATCTCTTCACTCTCCCACACTATCTCTCCACTCTCCCACACTATCTCTTCACACTCCCACACTATCTCTCCACTCTCACACACTATCTCTCGACTCTCTCCACTACCTCTCCACTGTCCCACACTTTCTCTCCACTCTCCCACACTATCCTTCCAATCTCCCACACTATCTCTCCACAATCTCTCTACTGTCCCACACTATCTCTCCACTCTCCCACACTATCTCTCCACTATCTCTCCACTCTCCCACACTATCTCTTCACTCTCCCACGCAATCTCTCCACACTCTCACACTATCTCTCCACTCTCCTACACTATCTCTCCACTCTCCCACACTATCTCTCCACTATCTCTCCACTCTCCCGCACAATCTTTCCACTCTCCCAGTCTATCCCTCTACACTCCCACACTATCTCTCCCCTCTCCCACACTATCTCTCCACTCTCCCACACATTCTATTCAATATCTCTCTACTATCTCTCCACAATCTCTCCACTCTCCCACACTATCTCTCCACTCTACCACACTATCTCTCCACTCTCCCACACTATCTCTCCACTATCTCTCCACTCTCCCACACTCTCTCTCCACTCTCCCACACTATCTCTCCACTATCTCTCTTCTGTCCCACACTATCTCTCTACTGTCCCACACTATCTCTCCACTCTCCCACACTATCTCTCTACCCTCCCACACTATCTCTCCACCCTCCCACACTATCTATCCAATCTCCTACACTATCTCTCTACTCTCCCACACTATCTCTCCACCCTCCCACACTATCTCTCCACTCTCCCACACTATCTCTCCACTATCTCTCTGCTGTCCCACACCATCTCTCCACTCCCCCACACTATCTCTCCAATTTCACACACTATCTCTCCTCTCTCTCGACTATCTCTCCACTCTACCACACTATCTCTCCACTCTCCCACACTATCTCTCCACTATCTCTCCACTCTCCCACACCATCTCTCCACTCTCCCACACTATCTCTCCACTATCTCTCTACTGTCCCACACTATCTCTCTACTGTCCCACACTATCTCTCCACTCTCCCACACTATCTCTCTACTCTCCCACACTATCTCTCGACTCTCCCAAACAGAACTCCACTATCTCTCTACTGTCCCACACTATCTATCCACTCCCCCACACGATCTCTCCACTCTCCCACACTATCTCTCCACTCTCCCACACTATCGCTCCACTCTCCCACACTATCCCTCCACTATCTCTCTACTCTCCCACACTATCTCTCCACACTCCCACACTATCTCTCCACTCTCCCACACTCTCTCTCCACTCTCCCACACTATCTCTCCACTCTCCCACACTATCTGTCCTCTCTCTCCATTATCTCTCCACTGTCCCACACTATCTCTCTCTCCACTCTCCCACACTATCTCTCCACTCTCACACACTATCTCTCCACTCTCCCACACTATCTCTCCACTCTCCCACACTATCTCTCCACTCTCTCAAACAATCTCTCCACACTCCCACACTATCTCTCCACTCACACACTATCTCTCCACTCTCATACACTATCTCTCCACGATCTCTCCACTATCTTTCCACTCTCCCACACTATCTCTCCACTCTCCCACACTATCGCTCCACTCCCCCACACTATCCCTCAATTATCTCACTACCGTCCCATACTATCTCTCCACTCTCCCACACTATCTCTCCACTCTCCCACACTATCTCTCCACTCTCCCACACTATCTCTCCACTCTCACACACTATCTCTCCACTCTCCCACACGATCTCTCCACACTCCCACACTATCTCTCCACTCACCCTAACTATTGCTCCACTCTCCCACACTATCCTTTAACTATCTCTCTACTGTCCCACACTATCTCTCCACTGTCTCCAATATCTCTCCACTGTCCCAAACTATCTCTCCACTCTCCCACACTATCGCCCAACCCTCCCACACTATCCCTCCACTATTTCTCTACTGTCCCACACTATCTCTCCACACTCC